TTACGCGAGAAATACGCACAATCGTCGCCTATACCTCGCAAAACTGGTTCCAAACGACAACAAAGGCATAAGCAACGATGGATTGTTGAACTTTGCTGGCTGGTGTAGTGCTGCTGAAAAAAGATAAGTCTATTATTTTGGTTAGTGATCGTTTGGATTTGGGTCACCCCACGTTGTGTTTAGGTTAGTATAAATAAATAATACTATTTAGTCATATAAATCACCACAGCTCATTATCTTCAGCGTTATCGGTTTTCTTTTCTGGATCTTTAGTTGCCTCTGTGATATACTTACTTGCGGCATACTATTTTGAGAGTGTATATGAGCGTGTACCATGTACGGTAGCTCATCTCTCATCGTGATGGTGGGACATAGTAGACAAATTAGAGAGAAAACAAGGAGGTATTAGTATTAGTTATATGTAAACAAACAAAACAAAAGAAGAGAAGCAGACAAATAAAAAAGGGATGAAGTAGATAACAAATAAAAGAAACGTAGGCAGATTATTAGAAAAGGCATTATCCGAGACTCGGCAATCAAATGTCACTCCCGCCGAGATCTCAGCGAAACCCCCTCCCCGCCGAGACCCACACAGCCGAGCTCGGTAGAAAAAACTAAGTGTGTAGATAGATTAGTAGGAAAATAAATAAAACTACTTTATGACTCAAAGTGCAATGAATGAGCGTTAGTTTTGGGATCATTTCAGTGTTAGAGTTATGTTAGTTTTGATCCGTAATCAGCCCTGCTGACCCCTCCAACATTAGTTGCAGGCAGTGGTTGTTAGATAATGCGGCACTGTAACTACTACTATTTTAGAGGTATGATTCGTCAAGTTTATACAACTCAATGTTTCAATTGAGCCAAACTATCTATCTTACAATTACAAAAGCAAACCGAAACTTACAATTCAGTGCCAACATTTCAAAGGGGCGTAATTGCTTTTGTAAACAATGACTTTAGCCATCAATTTCTCGCGAATGAAATCTTACCTCTTCAAAATAACAATGCTAGCTGGTAGAGGAAACATTCCTCTACCTAATGGTGTCATTATTTTTCATGAGTGAGCTTTTATTCGCGAGAAATCGATGGCTAAAGCCATTGTTTACAAATGCAATTACGCCCCTTTGAAATGTTGGCACTGAATTATATGTAAATGCAAAATGAAACTTGACACATCATCGTCAATCCCCTTATTACAGGGCAGGGCCTGACGATTTGAATCTAATTTAATTTTGATCAGTGAACGGGCACCATATGGTACATTTTCTCAACATGAACCTATCATTTCCAGCCTATCTGAACTATTTAATAAATGGAAGCCTTAGCATGGGTTACGCTCCCCCTAAGCGGGCCCTCCGCATCCTGTCTCTGTCTTATCTCAAATACAAATACAAAATGCCAATGGTATGAATGTATCTATATATATTGGTCAGGCTTCAGAATCGTCCAGTGGGCAGTGCGCTCTACACTCCAAGTTACCTTTTTTTCAAATTTACCGCAAATTTGATATTTTACCCATTGAGTGTTGATTAGTCACAATGAAACATTGTGACAGAAGTTGAGGTTACTAGTGTATTAAATAATCTAGGTCCTATTTAGGATTATATCTGAAAAATCCAAATCTGGCCAACGCCCACCCTAAACCTAAACCTGTTCTAATCCACCTGAAATGACTAACGTATGGAAGACTTTGACTACCCAGCCATGCAATAGTCTCATTCCGTGCCTTATGGCAACTTGATGATTCTATTGCGCTCATCTTCTTGCACCACCCAGGGGAGACTTGGTCCTGTACCCAATGCTTAACTTATCTCCTTTCCACTCAGCAACTCGCAATTTCTTGTGATATAGTGGGCGGAATATTATTATATGAGACAATTCAATGCAGACGTCTTTCCAAATTTGGCAGATCGACAGGTAATCGGTGAGTTACCACGATAGTTGCTATACAACAACTCGACAACGTCCCATCGTCAACACCTGCTATGAGAATTTCCCATTGCAGACGCCAACGAAATGACGTCATCGAGCTATCGATCAACTACCCTGGTTATCGCCTGGTACCTTATAGCACGATGCTAGGAGGCGAACCGGAAGAATCGATGAGCTACCTCCCCCCATTTCGAAAGTTATTTTCTATGTTCGAAAATCCCCGTGCTGTCGATCGACCGGTTTTCGACCCACTGTTCTCAAAATTTAACTTCTTGTCTGTCAGAAATAACGTTCAAAAGTTAAAAAAAATCGCCAAATGGTTCAGAGCCTAAGTGTGCAGAACATTCAGTTACTCACGAACAGGCGACTCATACCGCTTGCTTTCGTTCACACAGCATGTAACACAAGGATTGGGTACCATCACGGAAGAATAAACGTACTGACTGAGTGCTCGGCTGTCAGTGACTTGTTTACTGTTCAATCATTCAAACTCTCACGAGTCAGTGAATGATAAGGCGGATGCCAGTTCCTATTCGTATGAAAATGACTCATTGGCGTTGACGAGAGCTCTGTAACTCTTTACTCCTATGGAGAAATCTCATATGTAACTGTCAGTCTATGTGTGAAACATGGCGGACTTTTTCTTATTCTCTCACTCCAACGCAAAACCCCATAAGGAACTGGCAAAATGTGTATGAAGAAATGTCACCTCGGGACTGGTGTCAAGGCGAATTGAACCTGTTTTGCGCACTGTGACAAACACAACCAGAAACGGTTATGTGATCAAGTTATTAACGAAAGAGAAAGTCGACGAAGAGAATAGATCAATGTTACTGAGGACCTAATGTAAAGTTCAGCTTAATTTTAGATGGATTTATTTGTGCTTCTCAATTTTCAATTTGTCGAATTTGAGATGATTATAGTTCAATCGGTTAATTTTCTATTGGTCAATTTTAATTTTTCATTTAGTATATTTTCAATTAGGTAGTGAATTTCATTCGGTGATGAATAAACTACGTATACAGAATCCTGATGAATGTGGACGTCTTAGTGGAATACCTGTATAATGTGAGAGAGAAGGATTAGTATTTTCCATTTAATTCCACTACTTTATTTGCTTATCCTTGACAGATACGCGTATTTCGTCTACAATGTGCAGACTTCTTCAGTGTCTTGTACTAATACTCGACTGTATTAGTACAAGACACTGAAGAAGTCTGCCCATTGTAGACGAAATACGCGTATCTGTCAAGGATAAGCAAATAAAGTAGTGGAATTAAATGGAAAATACTAATCCTTCTCTCTCTCTCTCATTATACGTAGACAGCTTTTGGAGGACCTACATTCGTTCTAGTAGACAAGGTATCCATACCAACCAGCTTACATCGATCATCATAAATTGACGAGATATTGCTACCCTTTATTAAATCAAATTGGAAGATTCGTTAAATGATCACAAGTGGTGTGTTGTACTATAAGGAGTTCGTTTGCCCAAGCTCCTTCGCGTTAGGGTCAGGTGGGGCAAAAGTGCCACCTGCTTGTATCGAAGCCTGAAATACATTTTTGATATTTCTTATTAATGGGATGCTATAAAAAGCCCTTCAGATATACTGCATCAAATTTGGTTATACATTATGATGTAAATATTATCAAAAAATCTAAAAAACTTACACGTTGTCGAAAACTTCAAAATGTTATAAGAAATCGATGACATAAAATAAGCTTTTTCTCATCATTTTTCTAAGAAAATTTAATAATACGATGTAGATTTTATTGTACGGTAATACATTTTGCGACCCTCAATATATAAATACTTATTGTTGCATGTAGATCCTCAAAAAACGTATTTGAAATTCGTCTTCTCCACGGGGGCAAGAGCGCCATACTTGCCTTGGGCAAAAGAGCCATAGTAAACAAGACATATAACCTCAAAAAGTTGTCGCCTCAGAGTGAAGTTTCGAAGTGATGGTGCGTGTCTACAAGCGAAAATCGTTGCGTAAATCGTGGTCGGAACAGAATATGGTTGCGGCCATACGATCCGTGACTAAATATGGGATTTCTGTGCGAAGAGCAGCAGTGGAACACGGTGTCCCTCGCAAAACGCTATCGAAATATGTGCTGCTGGCGTTGGAACCTGGGTCGCAACATTTGGGGCGCTTCTAGCAAGTTTTTTCTGTGCAACAGGAACAGGAACTAGTTGAGCATGTTATCAAACTGGAAAGTCGGCTGTATGGAATAAGTCATCCATTCAACAGGGAAACTGGGCTTGCCGGAACTGATTAAATCTTTCACCTTGTTGACTAATTAAAAAGTAGTTTAAGAAGAATATGAACCGTTTGATTGCGAAATTTTGATGATTTTCTTGTTATTGAGTTATATGGCCGTCTTGCCCCATGGGGGTGGCACTTTTGCCCCACAGTTTTTTAGCCTTTGTTGATAAGGCATATGAAAACAATTAAGAAAAAATATTTAACGTTTACATATTCAGTTTCAGATACAACAGGTTTAATCGAGAAGACCGCGAGTAATCGGTTCCAATCCTTTAATTTTAGATTTAAGACATTTATAATATATAAAGAAAATGATAACTTGGCTCTGTAAAGTTTATTCGATTGAGCCTGTACAAATAAAGTAATTAACAAAAAAAAAACAAAAGGTTTAAGTGGAGGATGTTTAAGATTCTATGTACATCATTTGTTAAAAAAAAAAGTTAGATTAACCTATGTTTATTGAAAGATTTTCTTAACGTGGCACACTTGCCCCACCTGACCCTATATGATCATAAGTTCAGGTTATCGTTTACCTACCACAACGAATCATGCTGCAAACCCAGCCCTTTTATCCAACATCCCAGTAATTCTTCGTGGAAGTTCAATGGATTTCTCGGCTTCCATAAGAGTTCCTAAGAGTTTCGACAAATTGACGTTTGAGTCTTTGTTTACAAAATCAGAGAATTCATCCTTGAAATATGTTTTACTGTGATGATTATATAGAAATTACCATGTGGAAACCAAACTTTCTGTTTGTTTTTCATTGGCACTGTCATCAGAATCAAATTTGCGACATCCTTTTTCCTCTCCAATCCTTTATTCATTACCATTCATGCACACCGCAGTTGAATATTGGTAGGTAGGTACCTATGTTTGTTTTTTTGGGTGAAGTCAGCAACCCTTCTACTTTTTCTAACGTATTCTCAAAACTGGTCACATGTTATAGCCCGAACGTTGAGTGTAGTACAATTAGCTTGACAAAGACGTCCACTATCGACACAGAAATGACCCAAGCGAGGAAAGATAAAGAACGCCATGTATACCAGCTTCTGCGGACTAATACGACCACCAGTATGTATGTGTGTGTGTGTGTTTGTTATAGGTATGTTTATTCTTAATGCAAGAAATTCAGTTCGGAAACATCGCATTAATGTAACTTATACTTAAACCTAATCTATATTGTGTGTAAAACTGCCAATCATCGACGATTATCCTGTTTTTGTCCGTATCAAACAAAAATGGTGCTCCAAAACATCTCTTATAATTTTTTTTTGTAAACCATACGAAAACCAGAAGTGAAATTTGCAAACTTTTAGTCAATGAAAAGGTACACAACGCCGTGGATTCAACTAAAACACAAACGACCAAAGACTATCGTTTAGAACCCAAAATCTTCGAAGTCCGACTTTCCTATTGCTGATGAGATAAAAGTTAACGAAAGACAAATAAAATCCAACTATGCAACGGACAATCGCGACCAATTTGGACTGTTGGGAAAAGAAAGCGTCATTCCTATTGTGTATAGTTGCTTGCACATTCCTACGCGAGAGACACAAAGATTGACTCCTTCTACTAAAATGTATAGCTAATGTAGCTCAAAAGGGTTATGTTCTCTGTTGGAAGTGAATACGAGAGCGAAGGGCCCCCCTCCAATTACTTAGAAGAAAGTGACATCAACTGTGCGACCGTCGAATCGAGAACCGTCCATCAATTCTGAAATTTAGAAAACAAGCGAATTAATGGAAGTGAATTGAATGATTGCGATTATCGAACAACTTACTTATGGCAACTTCAGCGTCTCGCTCCTTAGCGAAGCGAACTACACCAGTGTCCTGTCCACGAATTTCAGCAAATTTGACTTCTCCGACGTCGCGGAACTTGTCACGAAGGGTCTGCCACGTCCAGGTGACAGGCATCTACGAATGTAATGCACATTTAGGAGAGGGATTCAATAGAGGACCATCGAACGGTGGTATACTTACGTTCCGAATAACGATCGTATCTGAAGTCTTGCGATTACCATTATTGATACCGCCGTAGTTTCGGCCATAGTCATCGTTCGGTGCTGTGCTGTAGTTGCGGACATTGGAGGATCCCAAGTCATAATCGTTTCCACGGTTTCCGCCACCACTGCCGCCACCAAATGCTCCAGAAGAGTAACTCTGATTGAAGTTACCACCGCCAAGACCGCCATCGTTGCCTCCTCCTCCTCCACCAAGGGAACCAAGACCGCCCAATCCTGAGCCACCGGATCCACCGAGTCCACTGAGACCGCCGCCACCTCCTCCACCGCCGAGATTACCCAAGCCCGTTAAGTTCGATAGACCAGCTGCGGCATTAGACAAGAGAGAATTCTGCAGACTACCGGTCAAATTGGACAAGCCAACCACGTTGCTTAGCTGAGCAGCAAGATTGCTGCTCAAGCCGGACAGGTTGGTGCCAGCAGCGCTCAACAAATTGGCACCGAGTGGAGGTTGAACTGGAGTCGGAGCAGTGTTTTGTATGGGATTGTTTTGAACCTGATTATTCTGCTGCAATGTCGGAAGATTACGGGCCACGTCCTTCAATGGTTCACCGTTCGGACCGAGACCGATGCCGATACCCTTCAAACCCTCGGGCAGACGGTTAAGCTCACCTTTCTCCGGTACGCGATCAAGACGAACGGTCATTCGGCGATCGAACAACATTTGCCTGTCGAACATCGAGATTGCTTGAACGGCCTCGACAGGGTGATCGTACTCAACGACTGCAAAACCCCGACTGTTGCCATCTTTGTCGACAGACAGGTCCACATTCTGGACCTTACCGGCCATCTTGAAGACCTGCTTGAGCTTCTTAGCATCGACCTTGTAATCAAGCTACACATATCGGCGGAAAGCGTTCGTATTTAAAAAGAAAGAAAAGCAATATCCGTACGATTAGCTATTTGGGGGAGAAAGCTACTGCTGGAGATCAACTGTTTTGCGGGATTTGTTACGATGTTCACTGAACAGAATGTTATAAAATCCAATTGTCCACGTAATACGAGCGATATGCTTCATTCATTTGCAGCTTTTTTTCAAAACCTAGAATCTGCCGTCTCTATGTGGTTATTAAGCAATGAGAGCATAAACAATTAACAGGAGAGGACAGCAAGTAAGAGACAACTTGTATAAGCTATTACCAATCTAGAGTTGCTGGTAGAGAATTCAAAAATTTTACCATGATACTACCGTAGAGGGAACAAGGCTCGAAGATTGAATTAATGTTCATTAGTGAAATATATTCAGTTTCGATGAGGAACAACATTCAGCTTACTTCAAGAACCAGCAAATTAAGTACGATAAACTTGATTACCAATGTACAACAAAGACCGAAAGTGATTTCCCCTTCTCTCGATATGTGAACCTCTTCCGAATATCATAACAAATCAATTGACCCATCAAAACAGCTAACAACGTTTGCAAAGTAAATGTAATAATGAGATTGTCTACACAGCAAAACCATACTCACATTAGCAATGAAGATACGGGTATGCAGAGGTCCCTGAATGCCGAGACCTTCCAAGAACTTGATGCTGAGACCGTAGGTATTGAAGTCCGGATTGAAACCACCGCCATCATCACGTCCCGACCTTTACGACGAACCGCGAACAGCATTAACATACAACAGAAACAAAATACAGTTCAAAATAAGAATCGAACAACACTGGCTACCAGAAGCTCCTTGAAGGACAGGTGACGGGATGTGCGAGAAAAAGGATTAAACAGTAACTCCAGAATAAGGAGGAGCTGAGACTATGCTTCAAATATTAGGACTTAGGAGTACTGCAAACATAAAGAGGAATAACTTGCAAAGGAAATCTATTCGAGGTAATTCAAATTGTAAATAATGACATTCTACTCCATGTTCTTTCCCCGGAAACATATCCACTTCATGAACCGTCAGACTTCGAATAAATCCCCTTCCAAGGAACCGTATAATCTTACGAACTACAAGATACCAATCAGACACGCACATTCGATCATCATCCCGATCCCGCCGACGGCTGCTATCATCGCGTTCTCCGCGGAACGATTTCGGCACAACTCGACCGTACTTGTCCCGTTCGTTTCCATAATCCTCCTTGATGACCAATTGGCGACCGTTGATGTCGAACCGGTTCATCTTATCCAGAGCGGATTGCACATGCTCCGACTTCTCAAACTCCACAATTCCGCAGCCTCTTGGCTTGTTGTTCTCATCGTGGAACAACTCAACGAACGATACATCACCCACTTCCTTGCGGAATAGGTCCTTCAGATCCTGCCAACGATACTCATATGGCACGTTCGAGACATAAATGCGACGGCAATCGCCACGTTCACGGTCGCGATCGCGGCTACGATCCCGATCGTTACTGAATCGAGAACTGTTGCGGCCACGATCGTTCCGACGGGAACGGTCCCGGCTGTTCTGGTCATTGTCGTTATCCATCATTTCGCTTCACCTCAGTTGTCCCAATTACCACGACGAGATGCGCACCTTTCGAGAATCAATCACAAACTAGTCGCTAGAAAACAAATCAAGAAACTTGCCGATTAACCTGCGGAACCAACGACGCAGCTAGGTAGAAATTGTAAACATAAATGAAGGTAAACAACGCTTTTAGGTTAGGTACCTATGCCGAACCGAAAAAAATCGAAACAAAGCGGAAAAAGGAACATGGCGGAGCGCGAGCCCCAAAATTTTCACTACGCAGAGGCGGAAAATTTACCGAATTTGATTTTTACTGATTTCCACAAATTTAACACAGATAGCCAGATAAATTCTATCACAAATTATACCTGGACACAGCAGCTAAAGAAAATCACCTATTTGGGCACTGGAAACAGTTTTATCCGGGCGTATTTTTTCACTAATTTACCGGCACTACACGCGAACACGCACTCCAGCCGAAGAAAAGCGACCAAAAGTGGCAAAAAGATGGCCGACCAGTGAAAAGGGAGCGTTACGCTAAACGTTACGTTTTTTGAAAGAAAATAAGCATCAGACAAAGCGTTTCCGAAGGGTACACTGGTTAGGTCGCCTTTTCGGTACACTCAAAAATATTTAATCCAACCAAATGTGTATGGTTAATTTGTTTAACAACGTTTTCGGAGTATCATCCAAACCATTTGTGGAATAGGTCTACCATTTGGGTTATTGTTCATTTATGGTATTTTTTAATTAGGGAAATATTGCGATATCAGAACAGCAAAATAAACGATTTGAGCCCGGGACATGCTGCCTACTGTCAAACGCTGCTGATGGTATAGGCCTTGTCACTGGCCTGTCTCATCGCCGTCACCGACTCGCAAACAGTTACTGTCCGCAGCATATTTAGCGCAAATAGACGATCTCCGGAAAAGAATAGAATCCGAAACGTTGGAGAGGCCTCGGGAGAGGCTCACGGATAAAACGCTGTACAGACTGGAGAGTTATAACACAAACGAAGTTACAGACGACTTTCTCCGAAGAAATTAATTAAAATAAGGTGGTTCTCTGTAATAGAATTTTAGACCACTTTCCGCCGCTCACCGCCAGGTTCGCTAGTATTTTTGATTTGAATTAATTCAAGTTGGTTTTGTGTGCAATGATCTGGCAACTCGCGTTCTCACTCGCGTTGACGGGGTGCTGTTTTCTCACTCATCGAAGGAAATTTTGATTAGAGTGAGAAAGTAAGGAACAGTCAGCGCGGGAACCGTGTGCGGTACTATAGGTGCGGCAGAAAGAATGTAGTCGACTCCTTCGTTCTCACGGTGTTCTTACGCATGATCCAACGTTACGTCACACTAGATTATGCATAAGAACGTCGTGATAATGAAAGAGCAAAGTTTGTATGTTTGGGGAGCCTCTCGCATTCAACCCCCATTCCCCCACCATCCGATTGAAACGGACCAGATGAAGTGGGTTTATGTAATTGAATTAGTGATTTCAAGCTGAACATTGCATTATGTCCTAAGTAACATTGACAGATTATCTACGTTGAATTTTTCTTTGCATCACCACGGTCATGTAAAGACATTCCCCGGTATTTTTAGCACACAGATCGATAAAAGAAGCTTTTGTCTAGCATCTAATACGACAAACACATCAATAAACGGTTATGTGATAAAGTTATTTACGAAAGGGAAAGTCGACGAAGAGAATCGATCAATGTTACTTAGGACCTAATGCATTGTTCAGCTTGATTTATTAGCAAAATAACCGGCAGCAGCAACATCAGAGTGGCAATGGCGAACATGGGTATCAGTGGTCGGTCCGAATGTGGTTTCTTCCCGTCGTCGTGGTCCTTCCCGCTCTCCTGGTAGAGAACGAGCTGTGGTATAGAAACTAATAGGCTAGCTTTAGACTAACGACCGATCGGTATCGACACGGAAACGGTAGGTTCGAGACCGGGTTCAAAATCGAAATAAATTTGACGTCTTTTACCTGCGGAGTTATTGTTCGAGTGATACACAACTTCGACGAGACATTTTAGGAACGTGGTGCTTCCGACTGGCACTTTAATTTTATTGACTGTTAATTAGAACATCGTCGTCGTCTTCATCATCACCATCATCATCAGCAGCTGCAGCAACATCTTCCTGTTTCGATGTATCGCTCGTTTGGAATGTTTGCGGTTCATTTCTGGTTTCCGGATCGATCATTGAGTTCGATAGTTCAAAAGCAGACGGGTTAAGTTAATTTTAGTCGTCTAACAAACAACTATAGAACATATATATAGAGGAGGACAAGGTCGGTTCTTTCCTTCATCTTCGATAACGATTTTTGGTATCAATTACTTCGGCAACACAGGTCATTATAGGGGCACGTCTTGCCATGTTGGTTGCGGTTGCCGCAGTGTAGGTAGAACGGAACATTAACCTTATTTGTAGAAGTGGTCCTTTGGCCCTATCGAAGAGGATGCTCGGCTTGGGTGCGTATGTGGCTTGGGTGAAACATTAGCATTGACTTATCGACATGGATCGGGAGGTGTTCGTAGCTTGCTACTCGTAGATTACGACACTCCGATACGTTGATGGTCATCAAGCCAAAATAAATACACCGCTAACTTTCAACTGCAGCATAAAAACAACAAAACGGAGGAAGCTCCCTTTCACAATTAATAATTAATAATTATTATCCTCAACCGCTCTGACGGAGCTCCTTCGGGGATAAAAGGACGAAAACCGCAAAAAATGGGATATAAATTTTTATCCTGCGCCAAGAACTATTTACTCGAGGAAAAGCCGACAAAACAGGAAGTTCGCTGTTGGGAAACATAAATTGTAGCACCACTTGCGAACCTCTTCGTTTTTGAAAGTAAATTTCACGCACAGTCTGACGTTTGCTTATGGATTTTACCATAGGAGTAAAGAGCTATAGATTCGCCGTCAAGGCCAATAGCATCAACTATATACTTTAAGCTAGTACATATGAGTAGATAGTGTTGCCGTGAGGTACACTCGAAAATTTCAAACGTAAGTGCGTCAAATCAAATTTTGAGCCGCTCCGTCTGTCACTTCGTTTGTGGTTATAACTCTGTAGTCTGAACGTACTATTAAACGCTGTCCAGACTGGAGAGTTATAACATGTTATAACGGTTGTCAAATAATTGCAACACAGAAACCACCATCAAGATAGCGCTATAACATGTTATAACCATAGAGGTAACTCTAAGACCACTGGGTCCCGAAGAAAATCATTATTATTTTTGGCTCACTCAGTACCAGAACAACGGTCCCAAGCAGTCCCAAGCTATTTCACTCACCCCTGCATGTTCTGCATGAATCCACACACCCCTGATGTTATCTGTCAAACTTTCATAGCGAATCAAAACAAACATAGTGTAGTAATAGAATTTCAACTAGAATAGGGTACGTTAATCGTTTGCTTGGGACCAATAGGCTACTAAAGTGGTGAGCCAATTTAAAATCGTTAGTTTCGTATTGATTGTTGTTATAACTCTGTAGTCTGAGCGTACTATTAGATCAATAATGCTAAAATTTATTGGTGTTTCGGTGTTTTCTCGCATTATTGCAGAACACTGTAAATGAAATAACCGAATTTCAATAAATAATTTCATTTTAATTTAACGAAAACGGTAAACATTTTTACCGGCAGCCCGCATAAGCGCGAACCATAAATTGACCTTACCTAAAATGGTTATAAATTGTTTATAATCCCTGCTAAACTTCAACTGAAATGGTTATGGAACTTTACATGAACGTTTAATGATAAAGTTTTAACCTTAAGTATTATAGTTTTTTGGAAGTAGACCTTACAAATAATGGGTTGTTAAGAACCATTACCATTCAAAATTCTTGTTTTCTCCATACATTTTCGGAAAGAAAACTATACTAAGACCTTTTAACTTATGGTTTGAGAACATTAATGGTAATGGTTATGGTAACCAGTAAGGTCCATGAATGGTTTTGTAACATCGATCAACTTTATGTGGAATATATCGCGAATTGGTTGCCTGTAAATTACTGATTACCAATTCACGATATATTTCACGTAAAGTTGAGCGATAATACAAAACCATTAATTGACCTTACTGACTACCATAACCATAACCATTAATGTTCTCAAACCATAAGTAAAAACGTTCTAATACAGTTCTCTTTCAGATAATGTATGGAGAAAACAAGAATTTGGAATGGTAATGGTTCTTAACAACCCATTATTTGTAAGGTCCGCTTCCAAAAAACCATAATACATAAGGTTAAAACTTTATCACACAAACGTTCATGTAAAGTTCCATAACCATTTCAGTTGAAGTTTAGCAGGGATTATAAACAATTTATAACCATTATCGGTAAGGTCATGTGATGGTTCGCGCACAGACAAACAGACATAACACATTGAATATTTCTCACTGTAAAACATCGTCGCTAAAACATTATCGCCATCTGTTGAGTACACTGTGGTGGGCACTACACTGAACAGATGGCGGTAGTGTGTAAACGTCAAACGCAAGAGAATTGACTATGCGCGCCACACGTGGCGGCACTACCAACTACGATACTTTTAAATTGTCCGTTAAATGCTTGTTCGATGAACAAATTGCGAGTGTTATGTCTGTTTGTCTGTGGTTCGCGTTTATGCGGGAGGTCTATAAATCAGGTTCGTCACTAACTTCGATGAAATATTTTACTGAAGTTTCGGTAAACAAAGCGTTCCATTACTGAGTTCGGTAACGGTCTCGGTAAACGTCAAATCCACCATATTGTGATTCTCGATCGACTTTGAAAACGTTCGTGTTGAAAATAAACGTATTTATTTTTGTTTGGTTTGACAGCTATACGAACAATAATAAATATTTTTATTTTAAACATGCTTCTCATGTTTGAAATAAACATACATATTTTTAAATTATTTAAGTAGTTGAGTGCAGGGTAAAGCAAAATAAAACGATTTGCAAAGAAATGAAAAAAAAAGATCTTCGGGCAGGGCATCTTAATTCCTGCTCTTTTTCGGGTGTGATCTGTGGGTGTTGAGGATGCGAGGACCCGTCGGGGTGGGTGTCCGGGGGTTCCAGTTCAGTGGAACCGGTGCAAATTTGTGTTATTAGCGTCGTTTTGCCGTTTCTGCCTCGGTTTTTGCCACTGGTCCTCATATAGGTTTCTTTCTATGTTCGGTGTCGGAGGAGGATCCGCAATGGATTCGGAATGGATGGCCGTTTTCTGTTAAGGTTGAGCAAAGCTGGGGCAACTTTTTTCGAATGTAACAATAGAAGGAACTAAAAATGCATGACACGCTAAAAACCGTTTACCCAAATCCTATATTGTTGAAATAAACATGCTTTTGAATTTAATTCAACCATATATATTTTCATTTTATACATGCTTTCAATTTAGTTTGAATAATTCATATATACTCTATCATTTATATTTTTGTTTTAAATGAACAAAATTTGTATCCGTGTTCCCTATTTTCAGTGTAGCGCCGAATCCTTCCGACAAAAACTTGTTTTTCTTCATTGGTGGAGCAATTTGCAACACTAACACACTGATCACGACTGCAGCCAATTTTTTACATGGGTTGCAGTAACCACCACCTTGAAACAATATTAAAGCAAATTACAGTTAAGTCGGATACCTTTTTAAAAAATTACAGATCTCTCGGTTTTCGATTTGCATCACAGTTCTCCGGTAAAGCTGACTAAAAATCAAGCAATGCACATCGGTAAACGTTACCGATCGATCGGTAAATTTGACAGCTAATTTCGCTGATCCAGTTTACAGATTTTTCGGTAATGTTCTCGATTACCGAAAACATTACCGACCGTTCAGCTGTTGAGAATTCGGTAAATGAATGACCGAAGTCGGTGATTTTTTTTCTAAGTGTGTAGGCTGTGAAACATTTGCCGAGTTAAATTTAACACTCACGGTTGAACGCGAGGTTAAACGTGACATTTCGAAAGTTATTTTCTATGTTCGAAAATCTCTGTGCTGTTGATCGACCGGCTTATGAGAAGAACTTAGCCACGGTTATCAAAATTTAACCTCGAATTTAACTTCTTGTCTGTCAGCAATAACCACGCTCGGATAGCAGGGTTCATCGATAACTTTCCATCTGTCAAATTTGATCCAAATGTTAAAAAATCCACCAAATGGTTCAGAGCCTTAAAGCTGGCGCACAATGCATAAGTTTCCGGGTTTTTTGACAGATAGGCTAACTGTCAAAAAAAAACCTTAAAACTTATCCATTGTGCGCCGGCCTTTATACTCCGTACAGACTATGGCTTATATCATGTAATAGGCTGTCTTGCAATGAGCACTCATACATAGGATTTCCAGTGAAAACTAGATGTATGAGTGCTCATTGCAAGACAGCCTACACGGTGTTTCGCGAAAACCCATTAATGGGTATAAAAATACCCATTTCCGCTAAAAGTGCCCCTCCTCATTTAATGGGTAAACTATGGTTTACTCATTAATGGGTAAATGGGTGGTCTGTCAATAAATGGGTGTTTTTTCACCCATTTTCTTAAATTGTGTGTACCGTAAAATGGGTGAAAAAATACCCATTTTTACAAATGGAGGATGCAAGTGCTTGGTTATTTGTCCTCGTTGATATAAAAAAACTTTCTCATACATAAAAACAAAATAAATACAGGTGTTCCGCTCAAATTTAATTACACGAAATATTATAATACCATATTAGATAATTTGTATTCCGTAAGCCTCGTAAGCCTCTCCAACGTTTCGGATTCTGACATTTTCGGGAGATCGTCTATTTTCGCAAAATATGCTGCGGACCGAGCTGCGGACAGTAGCTGTTTGCATTTCCAATGAATCGGTAACATAAATGAGACGATGAAATTTCGAAGTGTTTTTTCACCCATTAGTGGGTAAAAAATATACCCATTATTCAACTGTGAACTGATTCTTTAAATGGGTATTTTTTCAACCATTTTAAGATTTCAAAATTCCCCCATTTTTTGACAGCTGCATACATGGTTTGAAAATGGGTATTTTTCTACCCATTAATGGGTTTTCACGGAACACCGTGTAGTCGACCTAAAAACAGACACCTTTCCGCTTTGGCCCTTCAGAAAAGCTTTCGTCCGTCAAAAAATGATCAATAAACACAAAACAACCCTTGGCACAAAACGAAAACACAACATAATCAAAACACCAGTGTTATGTACGAAAACGGATAAGCTGTGTTGTTTTTGTAGTGAATTTTAGTGTTTTCCACCGGTGTAAAGATGTTAAAAACCGTAGACAAATGTCCGGGGCTTTACTGTGGCCGGACATTGTTGGAAAATGCATCCTACAGTGAGTGCGGTGCTTGTTTGCGTGGCTTCCGCGTCAACGAGCAGTACGTGTGTGCCCCGTGCCAGAACGACCTCAGCGAGCACGATTGGCTGTACCTGGGATTTATGGCCATCCTCCCGTTGATAATCCACTGGTTTTGTATCGATCTGAATGCTTTGCAGAGGAAATTCACCAAGGGGGAATTGATTCTACACGCCAGCGCGTGCTTCGAAGTACTGCTGTCCGCTTTTCTGACCATCCTTTTTACGGATCCTATCTGGGAGCTGCGGATCAATTCGTGTGGCGTGCGGAAGCTCTCCGATTGGTACACACTGTTTCACAATCCAACACCGAATTATGAGACGACATTATACTGTACCCAGGAGGCGGTCTATCCGCTGCAAACGATGATCTTCGTGTTCTATGTGTTTTGCGTTACATTCATGATGATCATTCGACCGGTGCTGAATGTTAAAGCTTTGCCGGTTGAAGGAAAAATGGCCGTATACTATGCGCTGTATATTTTCCCGATACTATCGCTGCTTCATGCCGTGGCCGGGGGACTTATTTGTAAGTAATGTAAGTAAGATGTGCTTCCAGATTTGATAATGCCATGATCATTTCAGACTATTCCTTTCCTTACCTGAGCATCGTAATCTCGGTCGTGTCGAATGCACTACATTTCTCGTTCAAACTGGTTCAGACGATACAATCACTGCTGGAGAAATCCGTCACCCAGATGCGCAATGTGACCATTATCCGTAAGTAGCTTTTTAACCGTTTGAGTTTGAATTCTTTATCCATCTTGAAACAATAATTTTAGTGGGCCACTGGCTACTGCTGGCGTATGGGATCATTTCGATTCCCTATGATATCTCGTATTTCTCCCTATTGCTCGTTCCCGTTCCGGCTCTGTTTTACATCTTCACCGCCAAGTACACCGATCCGGACAATTTTAAGTAGATTTTAGTTTTACAAATTGAGCTTTAGCAACGTTTTTGCGTTTTTTTTTCGCGGTGAAGTTGTGTGATCGAAACCAGTACACTGATAATTATTACGAAACCAGAAAACCTTCTTTAAAATATCGTAGATGAAATTTCACAAAGCCGTGTTGAATAAAACTTCTGCATAAAGGCCTTTCTAAAACCTTTAATAGGTAGAGCTTTTACAACATAGAAATGACACTTAGTTTAAACAGCTACAATTTGCACTATATTAATTTAAAATTACATATTGATTTTCTGCGTCTAACGGTGAGTTTGCAATACACAATCTGTTTCGTATAGGTAACAAATAAACTGAAACTTGGGTCGTCGTTATCAACTTTTCGAGGCCCGTCTCCGCAAAAACAGCAGCGCTAGGCCATGGTACAAAAAATACTGCATTATCAGAGCAGCGAAATCCAACGCTAGATGGCTGCTGCCGAAGGAGTACTGCTGCAATACGTCATCACCGTCGTGAAGGCAAGCTCTCTCAGGAATTCCTTCGCAATCTAGAATTATTATTATTATCAATATTAATGTCATTCATCTCCGCTGCTTAATTCTAATTTTTAATCTAGAATGTTGTTAGCCTTCACGAAAAACAGTGTCAGCGAAAAAAAAATGCTCTTACCCAGATAACTTATTCCGTCCCATTGAGCAATAGAGATGGCTTCGCTTGCGAACATCATCCAAGAGATGAACGGTAGCCAGCGCAGCGCTTTTGGAATTGTTCTGAAAAAAAATAAAATGTTAGAATGAGTGATGAAACATTTAAAAAATGCAGCCCCAAACTGACCGTATCCGAATGAAGATGCCGGACGTTATCATTAGAATGTAGTCGAATGGCACGAGGTAGGACATTGCCATCGGTACCGAAGGAAACATCGTTGAGAAGAAACAGCCGCATGCCATGGAGACGTTCATCACAAGGACGCAGGCTCCAACGGTGCACAACAGCCCTAGCATTGTCGGTCGGAGGTGCGCGAGGTAGTATACTATCAGGATGAAGCTTGTGGATTCCAGCAAAACGAAAGGAAGCTGCAAAGGAAGAACTTCAATAGATATAACTATCGTTTTGAAAAGCTTTTGAATCAACAACCCTTTAAGGCTGTGCTCAACTTTCTAAATTCTGTTGCGCCAACAGGTATGCACTATATGATATCTGATGCATTCAAAAATACTTACCATGGCTAAAATCTGAGCAATATAGAATTGCACCGTACTGTACAGGTTCGCCTTGCGTTCCCGGAGAAACAACGGGAACGACTCGGGAAATACCGACAGTACGGCATACATCGGAAGGAAGGTGTTCTCCGAGACGATCAGGAAAATTATACCTTGTACTGCTTGTGCTCCGGCTTGGCTCAGCTCTATTGCATCGGAAAAACACAAACCCACCAGAACAGCAATTACCTAAAACGAAGAAGTGGTCAATTTATATAGGCAAAGGCGATCATTGGTAGTTTATGTCCTTACAATCCTTTGTGCCAGTTTCATGTAGTGTAACTGTGGATTTCGGTGAGCTTGAAGAAAATTTCTCCTTATCAAACAGTTCAACGTGTACAGCCAATTATGCTTGTCTCGCAGCGCATTCCGGCAGAAATTATGCCGATAGCCATGCCGGGATAGTAAAATTTCCGAGCTAATAATCAACTCCTGCTGGTGGTAAATGTCACTCTCTTCATACTGATCACAAATCGCCTCAGGTTTCAGTCGATCCGAAGCTTCCCTATTTGAAGAAAGACATTTTATGTAGAACTCCGTCGTTGTGCAGTTTTGAGGCCGAGCCAGGTCGAATCTTCCGAAAAACTGCTTCGCCTCGTGAGGCTTTCCCATGAAACCGACTCTTCCGTTAGAGAGCAGAAGGACGCTGTCGAACATGTAGAACAGTTCGTCGGACGGCTGATGGATGGTGCACATGACTGACGCGCCGGATCGGGTCAACCCTTGCATCATTTGCACCAACTGCCTAGCGCTGAACGAGTCCAGTCCGGTGGTAGGTTCATCACAGAACAGTATCTTCGGCCTGGAGAGCAGCTCGATGGCGAAGGCAAGTCGCTTCTTCTCGCCACCGGAGATGGTTTTTCTTTGGCCGACTTCTCCAATTCGGGTGTGATAGCATTTTTGAAGACCAGCCTTGGTTAGCAGTTCGTTAACTAGGCGATGTCTTTCGAAGGTCGATAGCGATGGTCCCAGCTTCAGCCTGGCCATCAGGTGCATGTGTTCACCGACGGTTAGGGCTCCGCAGAACAGTTCGTCCTGGTAAATGAAACCAGTCATGTCGTACATGAAGGGCCCGGTTTGCTCACCGTTCAGGCGAATTTCTCCCGTGATGGTGGTGTTGGCTGGAATGAGATCTTGTTTAGATACTTTGTAATACTAGTTAGCTTTAAAGAACTTTATATTCAAAGAATCATCAACTAAAGATATCGTAGTGAAACTGAAGAGTTGGATCGAAGGAGCAGTTGATTTCTGTAGTTAAGAACTTGTTTACCCGTTATCAATAACTGAAAAAATATTTATGAAGTATTAAACTAGACTTCCTACTGAACACACACGTCTTTCTCTAGAGGTTATGGGCCCAGTTACGTCCGGCCTCTGAAGTTGAAACTAATTGATTTGAAGAATCCAGAAGTTCGTTACGGACTTACGGAAAAGACGGGAGTGAAGATGTCAAGCGCGGCGAAAGTAGGAATAGTCCAGTTTGCTGGTGAAGGATACGACGTGTGGAGGTTCCGGGTCGAAACGCAGTTGTCGGCTCACGACGTGAAGGAAATGATCACGAAGGATGTACCAGCTGACGAAGCGCAGAGGAAAGCTTTTCAAAAAAAGGACGAAAAGGCGAAGGCTCTTCTAGTTGCGTACATCGCGGATTCTCATCTGGAGTACGTGCGTGACAAGAACACTGCGAAGGAAATGTGGAACTCCTTGGCAAGCACGTTCGCGAAGAAGGGTTTTGCAGCGTAAACATACATTCGGAGGTCCAAACGTAGGACAAAATCCCGAACGATGCATTTGTCTCGTAGAATGATCCGTTTATGGGGGCATTAGAGTGCAACGACATGCTTAAAACAGAGTGTGAGCGATAGAGATAGAAGAGGAATGCGGATGAATAGTTTGAAGAAGCTTAGAATAGGCCAGACGAAGATTGCCCTGGCATTCTGTTGGCTATTGTTGCGACGGTTGCACTTAGCTAAGATATCGTGCTCGGTCACTACAGAAGCCAATTGTCACCTCTTCCTCTTAGATTCAACCCATTCCCTGATCTATTCCCATCTATTTTTTTTCTATCCCTGTTCTATTTTCATCAACACGACACACTCAAAAAAATCTTATCAATTATATTTTTCCCCGAAAATCCCAAGTAATTGCTAGACTGAAAAAAGTACATCCAAATGAGTGTCGTTCCTCCTGGTTGAGATTATGAATGACCCAATTTAAAACGTGTCAGGCTATTTTAGTTCACGGGTGTATTACCGACTGCCTTGTTTAAAAAAAAAAACCATTTCAGTACCAACATTTCAACACGTCGAAATTGCTTTTGTAAACAATGGTCGATTTCTCGCGAATAAAAGCTCACACATGCGAAGTAACGACACCATCAAGTGGAGGAATGATTCCTCTACTAGCTAGCTTCTTTAATTTGCAGGAGCTAGCTTTTAGACTGGTGGTCCTCTACGGCCACGAGGCCTGGAATATGCTCGTGGAGGACCAACGGAACGGAAGGTGTTGCGTACCATCTACGGTGGAGTGCAGATGGATGACGGAAGGTGGAGGAAGCGAATAAACCACGAATTGCACCAGCTGTGCTGGGAGAATCGTCCATCGTCCACATTACAAAAATTGGGCGACTACGGTGGGCTGGGCATGTCGTAAAAATGCAGCACGACGACCCAGTGAAAATGGTTCTAGAAAGGGACCCAGAAGAAACAAGAAGAAGAGGCGGGCAGTGGGAAAGGTGGATCGACCAAGTAGAAGGCGACCTGCGGACCCTTCGCATACTAAGAAGCTGGCGAAGTGTGGCCCTGGAGTGGAGACGACTTCTTCGGACAGCAGAGGGCAACAAGGCCTTAGCCTGATTGGTAAGGTAAGTAAGCTTTATTTGCGCGAAATCGGCAGCTGAAGTAATTGTTTACAAACTAATGAAATGTTGGCACCGATTTGTCTAGGCTTAATTGAAATAAAAAAAAGAACATGCCATGCACGGGTGCCAATCCATCTGGTAATCATGAACATTGGTACCAAAATCTGTAGTTTTTGACAGATGCTATGAAAACACACAAGTTGATTGTCAAGTGCGCGGAGTAATCCGCCGTCACGGTAACACAAGCAAAAATTTGCGACATGAATGGTTATGAATAGAATAATCTTTTATTTTCCTACGGGGTCACCTAATTTGTACACTGATAACAGGCATTAATTTTTGGAATTCGTTTTTCACCGACAAACGGGTCAATAAATGAATTGGGGCTAATCTAAATTACCGGACCTTTGCAGCAACTTCTTCAATTTGTGTTGTGTCGGATCATGGTTTTGCTCTTTTTGGATGCAACACCGGCGCGCTAAGTTTTGTAAATGCCGTCCAGGTTATCACGCCGGGACCTCTATGTGGGTATTTGCTCGTCTATTTTGATTAACAGCAGCATCTGGCAGAGTTTCTTAACCCATGAATCGTTCGCTAACGCTGCCCATATGTTTTGAATACAGTAAGGGACCTATATTTGGCACCACACGATTTTATTTTACTCTATTGGCAAATCAAAGTTGGTACTCGTGGAGAATAGAAGAACTATGACAGTGATGATGGTTTCAAAATTTCACACGGTGAGGTATACAAGTTCAATCTTAAAATGCCTTTATTTTGCAAATGGAGCATTTTATTTAAATCTGGTTAATGCTACGTTAGTAGAAAACTAAAGAACTACTCAATAGATGTATAATATAGAAAAAATAATTTCTTTTCAGATTTTTAGGTGTATGCATAGATTTCAGCTTTTCTACAACTGTAGCAACAACCAGATTTAAATACAATGCTCCATTTTCAAAATAAAAGCATTTTAAGATTGCACTCGTATAGCTCTCCGTGGAAAATTTTTAAAACCATCATCACTTTCATAGTTCGTCTATTCTCCACGAGTGCCAACTTTGATTTGCCAATAGCCTTGCATACATTGTATCTGCTTCACAATTATCTGGAAAATCTTCACACTTAGAAATAACTAATCACGTGTAAAGTGACGGAATCTATCTTTGACATAAAAGATGAAACGTAAACAAACATGTCATTTGTAATATTAAGTACTCCGAGACTGAAAAGTTCGTTTGATTGAGCTATATTTCGCGTCTGTTATGACTCAACTTCATGTCAAATGACGTTTGTATATGTCACTCTCAGCACCTAAATTTACATGAATTTTTCTAAGTGTGTAGTTAGGAATACTATTTTGCAGAAAACACTTATTATCAATATAACCTACTATGAATTCAGTAAAGTTAACTATGAATGTTAATAAATTTACTATGATTTTGGCAAAACTACCATGCTTGCTCAAAATGCATAGTAATTTTGATAGAAATAATAGTAAAATTAATTGAATTGTTTTCTGCAAAAATCTATTAGTGAGGGTATTTAATTTAAACCAGGAATAAGCCTCATAGCCTAGTCAGTAAAGGCACGGTTTTAACAAAGCCGGAGGCGGCGGGTTCGATTCCCGGTCCGGTCGAGGGAATCTTTCGGGTTGGAAATTTTCTCGACTTCCTTGGGCATATAGAGCCATTGTGCTTGCCACACAATATACAAATTCATGCATTGGTATTGGCATCGAAAGCTCTCAATTAATAACTGTGGAAGTGCAGAACATTAAGTTGAGAGCACGCAATAAGCTAATATGCGCTAAGCAATAAGCTTGAAATGCGAACAAGAAGAAGAAGAAGGAATAAGGCTGTTCATGAGACAGTTGCGATCAGCTGACTTTTTTGTTTACCAAGAACTTTCGATAGATCACAGTAGAACTGACAGTTCACTCTCATATGAATTTCTGCTTTGTTTATGTTTACATTCAGCACCATTAACACCAGATCACTCACACACTCTAGATTTCTAGCTGTCAGTTCCACTGAGAAACGTCTCTTGGATCACCTTATGTAGTATTTTTGTCAATGGATTTTGTTTCAGTGTACATATTAAATATGATTTAGATGATTTAGATAGACAAACCACAGACAAACAGACATATAAGGTTTACTTTGATGCCTTAAGACCACTGAAAAAGCGCATACACGGTAAGAACTAGTTTGTCTCCTTTTCTCCTACTAATGTTGTCAAAAACGGACGAGCAAAACCACCCAACAGGGATAGTAAAGTGTGGGAACCCAACGTTGAGTATAATCATATTTACCTACCGTTGGGTACAACAGGGTACAACTAACTTACTTTTGGTTAAAAAGCAAGTGGAAAATTCCATACGAACTGCACACAAGTAAATGAAAATTACTTTGACCCGCTTTACCTACTTCTGGGTTCCTGCACTATAAAAAAAAACATTATAAAAGATGGATTAGTAATTTCCATGTAATTCCACTACCTTATTTGCTTATCCTTGACAGATACGCGTATTTCGTCTACAATGTGCAGATTTCTTCAGTGTCTTGTACTTATATTCGACTGAAGAAAATATCCATTTGATTAGCCCAGGTACATTTTCACTTAGAAGCGTAAACTTAAATTTAATTTAATTTTATTTTCTATCATTAAATGGGGTTAACAGAACTAAGTATATACATGTTCGAAATATTTTTTTCAATTTTTGAATTTTACACAGATTTTTAAACTTTTACCGAACAGTTCCGCATTTCAAAAACCCAGTAAACCCATGCGGACTGGATTAGTGTGCATGTAGCATGCAGCTACATTTTAATTTAACCGAAACGAATAAACTGATAACATTTGGTTGCTTGTGCACTTAAAACTGCAACCGACTGTAATATAGCGTAGCGTAAACTGACCCGCATCATTTGATGGTTTTGACTTTGGGAGATAATGACACAGCAGCCATCCAGTTTGAGCCTCTTATCTCACCCAACGTGGTAATTAGTTAATTGGAAATAATGGCTTTTGCCTTTCTTTTTTAAGGTGATACGATACGATCACGCTTTTTTTTTGCTTTTTTTTCTCTTCTTTCTATGTGTCAGTGAATTGATTATCATTGATGCTGTAGTGGTGTGAGTGTACATCATGCACTAACGCAACTACCGTAAACATAGCTGCAAGAGTTCGTTATTATTAGGTCGAATGTGTAACAGTTAATAAAAAAAATTAGAAAGGTAAAGAATAAGTTATGTCCATCTTACTGTAAATTTCAACCTTCGTCATTTAAAAAAAAAAAGATAAAGATATCTCTTTATTATCCAATATTGAGACTATCACTACATTTCTATTCAATTTGCCAATATTATCGACCTACCACCTCCCAGGACACCCCTTCCTATACAGAAAATAATTATGCGCTTGGTGGCTAGGCATGTCAAGTCATCATAGTAGTTAATTGATTCAACATCACACTTTGTACACTTTTGTTACATACGACCTGTCCAAAAGTGATTCCAGAGCTCAAACCTCCAGGTACACGGTAAGAAAAAATATTCCAAAGTGACTCATTTTCACAAATCTCGGCACTATATTGCAGGAAACCAAAAGTAGGTAATGTGGGTCGAAGAGTTTTCATTTGATTGTGTTCAATTAGTGTGGAATTGACAATTCGCTTCTAACCAAAAAAATTGTTAGTTGTACGCAAAAGTAGGTGAATATGATTATATTCAACGTGACTCGTCAAAAGTAGGCAAAAATGAACTGGCCGCTGGATATTTTTTCTTATTGTGTATGTTTTTGTTTTTGAATCATCCTTTTGCCACCTTTTGCATATCAGCTGATGGCTTCGAGCAGTGCAACCAGAACGACACATATGTTTTTTTATAGAAGATTTCTAGGTTCATTTACTTTAATTTTTTGTCTTGAGAAACAAAATAAGAAATTGTTTTAAACATTTATTAGTGATGGTTTCTAAATTGAACACAGTTTAAGCACCTTAAAAAGCAATAAAAGTATTGTTTTTACACACTTTGTTTCAATTAAATCGACAACACTGGATACGATGATAGATGATTCGTACACACACCTTCGTAATGCGGTGTGTAGAAAAAAGATAAACAAAACAGTTTCAGCTAGCAAAATTTGTCGCGGCTCGCGTTTTTAACGATGCAAATGATATTGTTTAAGTAAATGTCGTCTTTAAAAGTGAATTAACTTGAAAGTGCTTGTAGAAGCACGTGTCGTAATTCTTTTTAGTGTGGTTCTGAGTAGTGAAAGCTAGTGAAAACAGTTATTGCAATTTCATGCCCTGAGCAGAACAAAATCGGCTGATCGTACTTTTAATGCAAATATTACCAATGCGTGAATGAATTAGCAATATTTTGGTGAAAAAGTATTGATGAATCTACGTTACGGTCGGCCAGCAGATGGAAATGATGTGAAAATGATACTGACGTTTTGTTAGCTGTCAAATCGTATAGAATATTTTTTAGTACCTCATCACTCTTGTGGTTTTGGATTTCAAACCTAGGTGTCGCATGCACTGGTGCAGTTTCGCGTAGATTCATCAATTAAAATATGTATCCAGATCTTATTCATACAATTCAGGCCCCTTTTTTAAGGTATGTAATTAGTAATTTACTGTTTTGTAGGAAGATGTCTTTCGTACGCATACCAAAACACGTTTATTTAATGATTGTAGGAACAGCCATTGTTGCATGACGTGCCGTATCACCTTAAACTAAATGTTCGCTTAGTGAAAGACTTTCTTTTTCTTATTGCTTATTCTCATGCAGGGATCGGGTGCTACTCAATTTTTTGCGCGTAAAACACGCTGTTGCGAGACTGCACTTTCATTTCCAAAGAGACGTGAAAGAGCATTTTAAATCGTGCAGCACATTTCATTCTTCTTGTGTTGGAGAGCTGCCGCTCCAACGGTGTTAAGTATCTTTCTCTCTCTCTTTCTTTCTCCGAAAGTGTATTTTATCTATAACTGTAGCATTGTAGGATAGCATCAGCATCAGTGCTGTTAATTTTCATATCATTCGATTGAAGATGAACCAATACAACTATTCAATCGATACTGTGAAAAGGAATTCTCTCGTGCCCATCATTTGAAGAGCCTCTTTCTCATTCATCACTGTCAATTGAGTCACTCAGTTTCATTTGATATTCGACAGTGGAGTATGGAAGAAACCCAGCAAAACGATCCCGAACAGATATGTCGAGCCGATGTCGGATCAATGTACGGAAAATTTAAGGTATATATCGACCTAATGTCGGTTCAATTTTGGGTGTATGTCGGGTTAGGGTTTGTTAGAAGTCAGGTTGGTGTCGGGTTGGCTTAGATTTTTCGCCGGAATGTCGACCAGAGCTTACCCCCCTTGTGAAGAAAATTACACATCGATCTTAAAAAAATCTCTTTAGGTAAAGCATCACAATGTGCATTTTCCTACGCTTTTGAATACCATTAAGTCACTGCAACATATATTATATGAATGTCAAAATATTATGCAACCAGCCTAAAATATGCAATTCTTGTAAATCTCTAAGCCACGTCTCTCCCGATTGAAAAGTGCTACTCCCGTCATAACACCGTGCACTACTCGATTGTGCTATACGCAAGAAGCACCTGAGCTGTCCAACTACTCTCTCATAAGTATGAAATCTCTCTCTCCTTTGTCTCTTTCTCCTTACAAATATAAAGCTGGGTTTAGATAGGGCAAGTCAATTGATCGAGTCAGTTGAATTCAACTGACTTGAACGCGAATTGAACGTGTAAACCATGCCATTCAACTGAACCAGGCTCAACTTTTCAAGCTAATTGAATTCAACTGAGTTGATCATTTGACTTGCCAAGTCTAAACTCAGCATAAAGCTGGGTTTAGATAGGGCAAGTCAAATGATCAACTCAGTTGAATTCAATTGGCTTGAAAAGTTGAGCCTGGTTCAACTTTTTTCAATTCAAGTGAGTTGATCAAGTCAGTTGAATGGCATGGTTTACACGTTCAATTCGCGTTCAAGTCAGTTGAATTCAACTGACTTGATCAATTGACTTGCCCTATCTAAACCCAGCTTAAGGGACGCGCTCCCTTATTTTAAGCGAACAACACACGTCTCAATATATTGACGCGAAGGGAAATTATTGACAATAATATTGATGATGTGAATACAGAAATATTGTCAATACCGATGTATTGACGTCAATATTGAATGTATTGACAATAGGATTATTGTCAATAAAAGCAATCGTGTAGGGTCCACTTTAGAATAGCACCAGTGTTTTTTGCATCACTCTGAAATTTTAGTCGATCCCTGTTCTTATGTTGTTATTGCAAAAAAATAGGCCGAAATGAATTTGATAGGCCGAAGTGAATTCATTGGCGTTTCAATCAAGGGGGAGAGGTGGCTGTCAAATACGAACAATCTTCGCCTACCTCACATAACTGGTTCCAAAAGTAAACAAGCCATAAGAAACCTACAGGGTTTTTTTTACGTTTGGAACCAAATTCATACAAGAATGATCAGTAGGCTGATTTGACAGCACGTCCCCCTCCCCAGGTTTCAATGCGTTAGGCCGAGTTTAGAATCCGTAGGCCGAGTTTGGCGTCAAGAAGCTGTGTTAGATTTTTAACAATATCTCAACAATGTGTTTCTATTTATCAAATCTTACGGTATGTACGGAAAGGTAAATAAATTTGGAAGTCATCAGTAATAATAACATTCCGTTTGGTGCTAAACTACGCTAGATTAAGAAATACTAAGTGCCGGTTGTGCTTAATAGGCCGGAAATGGGGTAGTTAACCCACCAATGCTACCGATGCCAGCACTGAAGCAAATAAACTTAAGAATTTCATAAAAGGCTCGACTTATGAACGACACATAAAAATTTCATAAGCGCGATGTAGCTTTTATACGCCTTTAACCTTTTCTAATCTCCAAGCGATGACAGACGAGTTGTTCAAGTCAGTTGAGTAACATGGTTTAAGCTGGCTTTAGACAGAGCAAGTCAATTGATCAAGTCAGTTGAATTCAACTCTCGATGAACATTTCAAATGGTCCTATCTGCTTTGATCGATTCTCTTAATCGACTTTCTCTTTTCATAACCACTGCTATGCAAACAGATTTCGCGTTAATTCTACCACATAGTTTGATAAAGGAGGTTCTTATCTAGCGTCCAAAACGTCCGATATTGACAATATTTCTGTGTATTCACCAAATCAATATTATTGTCAATAATTCCCCTTCGTGTCAATATATTGATACGTGTGGGGTTCACTTCAGAGTAAATTAAACAGAGCGCAGTCGTACAATTCCACTTGAGACGTAGTAGTCAAGAAGAAGAACTCGCCTTTAGCTGAACATTAACACATTCCACAGCTTGGACAGATTTTGTAGCTTTCCTACTGCCAATGTTTGCCGAGCCTCTGAACACACATCACTTACCCGAACTCCGATAGGCTAGGGCCGTCATCAGGGTGCTTTTCCCTGCTCCACTGGGTCCCATTAGGGCAACCAAACTTCCTGGCAGTAGCGACCCACTGACATGGTGCAGAATGGTACCCCAGCTGTCCTGTGTTCCACAGCTCACAGTCAAATTGTGCCACACCAGCGTGGCAGTTTCGTCAACGGCAGCCGTAGCACAAGCAGTTCCACTAGAAGCTACACTCGATCCCGTTGAGTTCGATTGATTGCTAAACAATGTTGTTGTCTCATCCATTGCACGCACTTTGTTTCGATTGCTGTTGTTCGAGTTGAAATCTTCCACAATATTATCACTCACACTTCTTTGAAATCTATCTACCAGACAGACGTCCGGGATCCACAAAAAAAAACGTCTGTCACAGTAGATAGCTACAATGCTACTAACGTTCAATGCTTCTCTCGCTTCGACTTGGGTGAGGTTGGCTTATCGGTTGGTTGTTTTTTTACTTAACCAATTTTTTCCATCTTTTCGGAAACGGAGTTCGTAGTAGCATAATTTCTGATTAAACCGTCGGTTTTTTTGCTACCCTATGTATTACGGCATGCTATCTGGTCTTAAATACTTCAATGAAAAACGAAAATAACAGTTGTCTAGGTCGGTAATAACAACACTTCAGACCCCAAACCTCCAAACACATTTCTCGATTACTTTTTTAAAGGGACGTATCAGATTTTGTAAACAATGCATTTGATCGTCAGTTTGGCGTAACTGGTAGCTCACTCACGCATACCAACACCACTATCAGGTAGGGGAAATTTCCCCTATCTGATAGTAGTGTTAGCATGCGTGGGCGAACCAACCGATGGAAACTAACGATTTTAAATAGGCTCACTACTTGACTAGCATTCTTTGGTGCAAGCAATGTAAATATTTACCTTATTTGACAAAACCCAGGTAATCATGACGTTTGATTCTTGAAAACAATTTGAATGAAAAAAGGAGACCTACTGCTGTCATTATTACCTGAGATTTGTCAAATACACGCAGAAAAAAATAAAGTTCAAACAAACAAATTATGTTTAATTTTAAACAAAGTTTTGAATAGAATATGGATCAATAAAATTGATAGATTATTTCAACAAAAAAATTAGTTGAAATAATACCACTAACTTTATTGAATTGAACATCGATTTTTATTGATTTGAAAAAAATGTTTGCTTAAATCAAGTTGAAGCATTATTTAAGATAATTATCGTTTTTAGTTGTATTGAAACGTTATTTATATTGTTTCAAAATCAAATTTATTAAAACCCCCAGGTCAGATTAGCTGTCATTATTAAAAAATAAACCCATATTTTTTCAATTATGATTTCAATCAAGTTTCTAACGCTGTTTGTTTATTAAATTATTAAACGTCAATCAGCTTATTGCATTGAAGCATTTGGTGCGTGAATGGATGGAAAAACTTGTTGTTCTTGTGCGCCTTTCAATGCACCATGGTGTCGATTCTTACGTTATTGTTTGTGGTAATTTTGACGATTGTGTTACTACAAGTAGCGATTCTGCTGCAGCTGCTGGTGTTGACGTATTTCGGTGGAGCCTTAGGCGGTGCAGCATACGTAATGGCAGAGGAGGAGTTCCTATAATGGTAAAATATTCTAAAATCCTCGTTTTGAACTTTTCAGTTTCCACATCAGAACCTACCTGGTTCTCCGGGTCACAACATCTAAGTTTCCAGTATGTTCAGCTACGTCAAAATGTATGCGCTCTCTTGAAGATGCGCTTCTGACACCTAGTCATTATTCATATCCAAATGATCCCTACGCTGGTAAATTGAGTCAGCTTCTATCCAAGTTGGAATCCCCATCTTCACCTTCTCGTTGGTCAGCCGAACCGAATCCTCATGCAAATTGTGCCCTATCACACGTCAACACTGAAATTTCAAATCTTAGTTAAGGTTGATTGCTAGTTGAGAAAATTTTTACTTAGGCATAAAAAAAAACTAAAACTTACTTGTTAAGATTAACGATCGAAGGCAGAAATTCCGTACGGAGAATCTTTTTGACTAACAACGATGTCGACTGACAGTTTGAAACGTGCCCTATACGCACAACAATAAAAACAGTTTTATTGGGTTGATTTTAATGGGCTTTTGTATTCATTTGAAACTTGTTTATGAACTGCAACAAATAGAAATTTTGCATTGAATAATAACAAAATATTTTGTTGGCTTACGCCTCAGTGTTTTTTCTGCGTGTAATGTACACATTTACACCGATTGCATCGAAGAATATTGGTCCCAACTAAATCGATTAACGTACCCCATTATAGTCCAAATTCTAGTACTGCACGATTTAAGAAAAAAGTACCCAAAAGTAAGTTCATTTGACTCATCTCGGCACTATAGTGCAGGAACCTAAAAGTAGGTAAAACGGATCAAAGTAGTTTTCATTTACTTGTGTGAAATTCGTATGGAATATTCCACTCGCTTTCTACCCAAAAGTAAGTTAGTTGTAGTAGGTAGATATGATTATACTCAACGTTGGGTTCCCACACTTTACTAGTTACGCCTATAGTCGCTATATTCATAGTCTGGCGGATAGAACTTCGAGCTATCAAAAAGCGGAACCAATTCAATATATTTTAGACCAACAATTGAAAAGATACTATCCACTTTAATAAACAAAACGTTGATTATGCTTCCTCGCCAATCGATTACAAATTACCGGCATCATCGGATAGGGGAAACTTTCCTCAACCCAAAGATGGTGTTAGTTTGCGTAGGCGAGCCTTGAGTCACGAGAAAAGAGTTTCCGAATTTTTGTTCGCAATAGCTGATGTGCTCTTTTTCTGTTATTGGTCGTGATTTGCTCGATTGGTTCCGCTATTTGACAGCTCAATTGGTTCCCGAGATTCTATCCGCCAGACTATGAATATAGCGACTATAGTCACGCCAAGAGTGAAGCCAAATCCACTTATCGAACTGTCAAACCAGCTACCTATCGTGCAAAGTAAACAAACATTACGATGCTATGAACGGTCCACGAAAGGTATTGCAATAAAATATAAAATATAATCGAAGAAATGATAATAAACACGCAGTGAGCACTCAATTGTCATGGGATACGTTTGGTAATGATCAATAATGAGAATTTTTACTATTTTTTGTTAAGATAATTTGACAAAATCACTGACACAATGATTTACTACAGCCGCTATTATTTTTCCTCGCTAGAAGTCATTTGAAGTTGATGGACTTCTACATCAACTTCTGTTGCCAAGTGAAAAGCAAGGGAATCTTTCGAAAACCGTGATGCGAGTTCAACTGTTTTTCTCTTGGCGTGACTCATTATACACCGACTCTACACTTTACTACCCCTGTTGGGTGGTTTTGCTTCTTCATTTTTGACAACATTAGAAGGAGAAAAAGAGACAAACTACCCTAATAAACAAATACCATAAATGAAATGTATCCCGGATATGTAAACTATCCCAGTTTTAGTTTGGATGTTTTCTTACCGTGTAGATTCGCTATGAAAATTTGACAGATAAAATGAGGGGTTTGTGGATTTTCTTATGTTTCGAGGGGTGCATCGATTAGCTTGGGACCGAAGAGAGTACCAGAGCTGAGCCAAAAAGTTGAGCACGTTTCTTCGGGACCTTCTAGTCTTTGAGTTACCTCTATGATAATACGTACTAGGATCATTTATTTTTCTACCATCTGACATATTTTTCATTCGTTTCAATTATCATTTGAATTGATATTCAACACTCGCAAAAATTTTTTGATACTACAGATGTAAATAAAATGGAAATTAATTGTATTATGTTATGTAATTCTGTTCTGTTCTGCATCAAATACGTAATTTCAAAAGAAAAATATGAACTAGATAGATTTAATACATTGGAGGAAATTTATGCTACGAAAGATGTAATTATTCTAAGAAACGTCACACGGTTCCTTAAAATAAATCAACAAGAAAATTTAAGCAAGGTATAACATCATCACCGAGGTGAGCTGAGAGTCACAGTTGCCTGTGGCGGCTGTCAGAAATGACAACATAGAAGACGAAAAGTCCACGAGACTGGAAAGAAAATAAGCTGGCGATATAGCGGTTCTTGCTGTGAAAAACGGAGTGGTGTTTCCAAACACCAAAACAGAGAAAAGAAGAAGTATAAATAAAAAAAATGAATTTAATACATGGGTGTACAGTTTCCGGCCCGTGACTTTCCCACCGTATTTTACCATTCGTCACGATTTGGAGCCTTCTGCACTCTGTACGTATGCAGTCCCTACCGGTCCTTGGCTCTCTGAACGAAAGACTTGGACAGATTCAACTGTTTGGCCACATCCCTGACCGAAGCATTGGGATTCCACTTAAACGCTTTCACACGCTTGTAATCCTGATCACTAATAGAACATCAATTCTGACCGCATTTCTCCTTCCGTTCGATGCTCAGAATTTGGTAGTAACGTTTAGTCACACGACTCACCTTCGACTGCACGATTTCGAGTTGTTTTCCGATGTCCCCCGATGAGAGAGTTGAGGATTTTCCATGTGCTTGCGCAAAATCAATTCGCGACGTTGTTTTTCCAAGGGGGGGGAGGTGGCTGTCAAATACGAACAATCGTCGCCTACCTCGCATAACTGGGATAACTGGTTCCAAACGTAAACAAGCCATAAGAAACCTACAGCGTTTGTTTACGTTTGGAACCAGTTTCATACAAGAATGATCAGTAGGCTGATTTGACAGCACGTCCCCCCCAGTGTTTTTCGGGTGACGACATTTTTTAAAACTTTCGAAAAACGGACAGCGATAAAAATACAGTGTAAACAATACACTCTAAACTACTTCTACCCAAAATTTTCAAGAGAAAATACCCAATGGGCAATTTTCTACAGCGTTTTTTTCCGTGGTGCAATTTGGTGTGGGACACCCTTTAATCCATGATATCCATGGTGGATCATCTCACTAGCGAAAGTATTTGTGTAAACTGTAAAACTTTTTATGACTATGTACACACGCAGAGAAATACTTTTTAATTTCAACAAGATTCTGTATTGAATTCAATAAAAAAAAAGTTGTCTCCCGACTAACGATAAAAATATTGTTAATACCAATATTTTTTTTATTGACTTCAATGAAAATAATTTTTGTTTCTATAATATAGATAACTCATGGACCGAAACATATTTTCTTTGAAATGGCGAAACAATCTTTGAATCAACAATTTATATTTGTTGAATTAACTTTTTTTATTTACTGAGTCAGCAATATTACTTTCATTGAAGTAACGAAAAAATCTTTGAAGATACAACTTTTATTTTT